CCCCCCAATCCAGTGGAACCCGTGTGCCCACTGCTGCCCGGAGTTCGCCTCGCTTCCGTGGGGGGCAAGTGTTGCCCCAGCTCCTCGCTCCCCTGTCAAGCGAAGGGAGCCCAAACTGCGGGGAGGGCCCTCTCTCCTCCCCACCTTACCCACTTAGCCTTTTTCAAGGAGCAGATTGCTGCTTTACAGTGATTATCCGCCCTATAAAAATACGAAGCCCCATCAGTTACCTTGAAAATGAACCAGGTGGGGGGGGGAGGGGGATAAAGAACAAAACCTACCAAACTTTATTATTATTAATATTATTATTATTAAGCAATTCTCTAAAGTCCCGACCCTGCCTCCTGCTCGAGGGCAGCATCCTGCACTGCTGCCAGCCCCGGGACGCAGCTGCCCGTGCCAGGGCGACAAGGGCCCCAGCGCCCCCCTTGTCCTTCATTAGCGCTATACGGGGCTCCAGTGCCACCTTCTCAGGTCCAGGTACACGCTCGCCCGGACCACCAGGGTCTCTCACCGAAGTGGCAACCCAAGTATTTGCCTGGATTTTGTCCCACTGATCCTCTAATAACAGAAACGAGCAGCTCCCGCTCGCTTCAGTTCAAGCGCTCTGCAAGCGCATAGTATTTAGTGGCAGGTTTTCATTCTTATGACATCAGTAAAAACAATATTTCCCAACACTTCCAGTAAATCATCCTTATGTGGCAGAATTACTGAAGGCTATGAATTTTTTGGTTTCTCTGGTTTCATTAAAAACCTTTTAATTGTGTCTTTCAGAGTTGGCCCCAGGTGTTGGACTCTTTTCATTACATTTTGCTCTAATGTGATGAAATTCTAATTCTCTCCTTACCATATGGTTAAATTTCCCCACTGAGAATTAGTTGAAAAAGGAGAAATAATCTATTAATCTCTGTAATAGATTCACAAATGAGGTTTGCCACAGAACCTGTTTTTGAATGGTAATATCAGAACAGTTGGGTGCCTTGTTTCAGGAAAGAAAGGACCAGGCGACAATAGAAAAAAAATAATAAAAGAAAAAAAAAACACGTTTGAATTTTCACCTGGAAAGAACGAAAAGAAGCCAAGCTGCAGATTTGAAAGTAATTGACTGAGATCTCATCTAGCGAGGACAAGGCTACAATGCAGCCCCTCGTCACCTCGTGTCCCTCCGTTAGACGCGAACACAGGAGCGGAGCCCGCCGCGCAGGGGGGGTCACCCCGGCCCCGACGCCGGCCCCGGCCGGGCGGGCGGCCGCGCTCGTCCCTGCGCGGCGCCCAGAGCGCCCACGCGGGCTCCTCTCTGCCCCCTTTGCCAAGTCACGCCGCCCTTGACCTCTCTCCTTCTCAACCCCAGGGCATTTGGTCTTTGCCGCTTCCCAGTTAGCAACTTCATTTTTCCCTGCGATTGTAAACAATGGGGTTTATAATCACGATACTAGGGTTTTTAATTGTTCTTTTATTTATATATATATATGCAGTATATTTAATAGCCAAACTGTGAGACCGATGTGGTCAGTTAAGGATGACGGATGCTATTAACTGTTAATCTGTTGGTTTGAGAGGACATGTAGTGGCTGGCAGCTCCTTTCTCCCAAGGCAGAGGTCTCTGCACGGGTCTCCCGCTCACCTCCCGCTTCAGTGATGCCGCCCCCATCCCTTCCCCCGGCACCCTCGRGACAAGGGTCCAGGGACACCCGAGGGGGCCACCCGGTGCTGCCTCGGCTGTGCTGCGCAGACCTTCAGGCTGCACCTGAACTTCTGCCCCTTCCTCTGAGCTTTCTGTTTCTCCCCGTCCACCCTCCCGCCTGTCGATCTGCCTGGGAATCTGTTTGTACACCTGTCTGTCAATCTGTCCGTCCATGCAACAGCCTCGTTTTTTTTTTTTTTTTTTCTCTCTCTCTCTTTTATTTTTTTCTTTTTCCCTTTAATTCTTTTCAGCCTTTCTTTTCTTTTTCTTCCTGTCAGCCGCCGCTCTTGTAACTTTCGCATGTCCCAGTAATCTTTCCTCATCATTTATCTGATGGTGACCTACCATRCTCTCATATTCTAACTCTTATCAAACTTCAAGGTGGGGGGTGAAGGAGGAAAACAGAAAGCCCCTCTCCCCTCCGCCGGACCTGCCTGTTAGACTCGAACCCTCCCGCTCTAGAGAAGTGACTGTTTAACAGTCTCCAGCAACTTTAGTTTGGAAGCAGGCAGAAAAATTTATAGAAGCTTTAAATGCGGGGCTTATAAAAATCCCGAGGAATGGTCTTTGAGGTTTATGCACTCATAAACTTTTGCTGATTGCTTCTGGGAAGTTGTCAGGCATTTAACACTGCATTTATCTTACGGTGCAATGAAAACACATCTGCCCAGCCTCTCGTCACCTGGTTTAATTGGGCCGTGGCCCTGTGGCCCCGACTTCACCCCACTTCGGCCGCGACTTTGGGCCAGGCTGCTGCAGGACCGAGCCGGGCCTGGCCGGGCCGGGCTGGGCCGGACCGGACTGGGCCGGGGGTGGAGGCTGCCCCGCGCAGCAAAGGCAGAGCTCAGAGCCTGGCAAAGCAGCCGCGGGGTGTCCCCGGCCAGCTGCAAGCTTTAAAGTGTTACTCGGCCCCCCACCTGCTCGGGGGAGCCCCGGCCCCGGGAAAGGCTGCGAGCGCCCGCAGGCTCCGAGAGAGCAGATGACAGAGACATCGCGGCGGTTGCTGCGCTCCGACTGCAGCTCTCACAAGATCTGCTCCGGAGTGAGTTTGTTCTGCTGTTTCCCACCGAGAGAGGAGATAACCCCTCCTTCCTCATCCTCGCGACGCGCTCTCCGTTTGCTGCCAAACCTCCAGGAGGCAGAACTGCTGCCCAAGAGCCGAGCGAGCAGTGGGCAGATTTTACCGAGACCGAGAGAGTTGCTCTGCAGAGCCCTCCCCAGCTGACCCGGCTGATCTCGGGGCCTCCTGCGAGCTTCTCCGAGCGCCAGGCTCAGAGCCGGGTCCGGCGCCGCCGTCCCCGGGCCGCCCGGGGCGGCACAACCGGCGCTTCGGGCTCATCTCCCTCGGGCGCAGCGCGGTGTCGGGAAGCCCTTTCGTTCGTCTGCCCTGCCCGCGCAGTTGCCTCTTAGGCACCCTATCTTTAAGTTCAGGGCGAAGAAAAGATAGTTAAAAAAAAAAAAAAAAAAAAAAAGCAACAAAACTGCCCTTAACTCTCGCTGCATGGAGGCACGAGGCGGGCTCTCTCTCAGCCGACCCGGCCCCAGGAGCCCGGGGGGGAGCTCAGTGCAAAGGGGCCTCTCGGGCCGTCGGGGCGCCCTGTCCCAACGTGGGTGGCGGAGCACGGGTTAATTGGGGCTCCCCGCGCGATGTGGGGGTCTGAGGGACCCGGCTTTGCGGGAAAGTCGTGGGGACRTACGGGGGTGCCAGCCTGGTACCCCTCGAGCCGGTGACCCCGCGTCTGGAGGGAAGGGGCCTGAGGAGGGAAAGGAAAAGCAGCAGAGAGCGGGGCCGTGTTGGGAAGCACCGGCCCACGCCGCACTCCCGATCCAAAATCCACAGCACCATCTCCTGGGCAGCGGAGGGGATGCAGGGGACCCGTAAGGGAGGCAGAGGCAGAAARCTGCCTGGAATTTGCAGCTGCCGTGCTGGAATCTCGTCCCCCCAAAAAGCAGTGCCCTTCGGCGGGAGGACGGGGAGCCTCTCCAGAGGTCACGTAGACACAAGCGGGAAATATGTGCAGCTGACATACATTTTGGCTGGAGGAGCACGTGGATACCCCAAATTCGGGGGCAAATATTGATGTATGTGGAGCTTTAAATGCATCATGCTGAGGTTTGCAGAGAATGACTAAAAATCCTATCACAGTTAAGGTTACTTTGGTCAAGTTAGAGACTCTGGTCATCTCCATTCATGCAAGGCAACATATGTGCTTCCTTTCCCTCAGAGAGCCTCTTTGGGCTTCTA